ATCACAGGCACATAAATATAATTAGGCAAGCATAAGTGACACTTATTTAAGTGTATTTAATTTAGTAGTACTGTATTTTAGCTGCATGTTTTAAACTATGTCAACTTATCTCACTAACACACGGTTCTTTTATAGTAGAGACATGGAAGCACTATATTGATTTTAAATTTATTTTAAAATATTATGAATCATTCAAAGCAAAAATAACTTTCAGTCTCCAAACTCTTGATTTCATGCCTCTGATTGAACTATTCTACACTACAATAAATTATTGATAGCCTTGCTTTTAACTGATTTCACAATTTCAAGGGTAGCTTAAAATCAATGCATTGCTATTTTTCTCAATGTCTTTTTCAAAGCATTTTTCATCTCTGTATTCCTCAAGCTGTAAATCAGAGGATTCAGCATTGGGATAATGAGGGTATAGAACACAGCCACAATCTTGCTTTTCCTTGGTGAGGAGATGGCCCCGGGTTGGGCATACATGAAGAACACAGTTCCATAGAATAGACTCAACACTGTGATATGGGAAACACAGGTGGAGAATGTCTTACTCCTGCCATGAGTGGAAGGAGTCTTCAGAACGGTAGAGAGGATGTATGCATAGGAAACCAGAATGACAGTTGTGGTGGAGATGATGATGAAGGCAGAGAGAATAAATAGCACAATCTCATTCACAGAAGTGTCAACACATGAGATCTTGATCAGAGCTGGGACATCACAGAAAAAGTGGTCCAGCCTGTTTTCTCCACAGAATTGCAAACTGAAGGTGAAACCTGTTTGTACCATGGAGTTGATGCACCCACAGATGTAGGAGCCAGGCACCAAATGAATACAAGCTTGCTGCAACATCCAAACATTATAGAGGAAAGGCGAGCAAATGGCTGAGCAGCGGTCATATGCCATCACATCCAGAAGGAAGCCTTCAGTCCCAACAGAAAGAGCAAAGAAGAAGAACTGTGTTGCACATCCGGTGTAAGAAATTTTCTTTTCCTTAGATAAGAATGTAGTTAGAGTTTTAGGAGCAATGACTGTGGAATAGCAGAGATCTAAATAGGATAAATTTTGAAGAAAGAAATACATAGGTGTATGAAGCCTGGAGTCTATTTTAATGACAATTAACATGCTGATATTTCCCAATACAATGACCATATAGATAAGCAAAAACAGAAAGAATAAGAGAGTCTGCACTTCTGGAGATGTCCTGAATCCCAGCAGAATAAACTCTGTCAACTCCGAGTAATTCCTATTCAGCTCAAGTTTCGTAACTGAGATGTATCTGGGAAAAATAATAGATAACTGCAAACTGTGGTTAATTTATAGTTCCTGTTAAAAACTACCGGTATAAATTGAGGG